CCTTTGCGTATCCTCACCATATCCTTCGTCGTCGTTGTCCCCGCTCCCGGCCTACCCCTGCCCCTCTCCCTCTCACTAGGCGAAAACTCCCCTCCCTTCCTCCCCCTGTCCTCCTCCCCCTCCCCATCCCGTTTCCTTTTCCCAACCCCCTCACCCCAAAGCGGCGGCGGCGGAGGAGGCGGTGACATCCCCATCCCACCGCTCTGCGACGCAGCCCTAGACCTACTCCCCCCCCGACCGACGGAGTGATCCCTCCTGATCCTGGCAAGCCGGATCTCCAACTCCGTCAACGGCGGCGGTCGTTGTGGTTGACCATCATTCCCGGAAGAATTCGCCAAACTCTCCGCCACCCACCCCCCATCAGCCCCCTGCACAAACCCCCTCAGCCTCATCTCCCAGTGCCTCGACCTGATACCGGGCCGAGAAGCAGAAGCGTTGCTCCCACAGCTGGTCGTGCTCATGGCAAACGACTGCCTTTTAGCATCAGGCTCACGCAGCAGCCCGTCCAGCTCCGCCGATCGCCGTTTCTTGTTGTTGTTGTTGTTCACCCCCGAAAAGTTTGTGCTTCTGAGTGATGCTCGTCCGTTGATCGAGCTGTGAGCCGAGACGCTTCTCCTCCCATGGTCGCTGACAAACCTCTCCCTCAGAGACCTCGTCTTCCACCCTTCTCTCTGCGCGGTAGCATCACTGTCCGGCGACCCAGCCGTCATCTCCTTCGGCGCAGGGACAAGCTCCAACTCCGACTCCTCATACCCCTCATACCCCTCATACCCCGTCCCCGTTCCCGTAGTCACCCCAAACCCACCCATCACAGCCCTCTTCACCAGCTCCCCTTCGTTCCCCACCACGCCCCCAAACATCCCACTCCTCCTTGTCAACTCCTCCTCCTGTCCCCCGCTCCCATCATGACTAAAAACCCCATCTACACTCCCCCCCCCCCACCCCCTCCCACTACCCTTCACCAACCTCCCCAGCAACCTAACATCCTCCTCCGCCTTCCTCTTCCTCTCCTTCACCCTCTCTTTCTCCTCTTGTTCCTTCTCCCTCTCCCTCTCCTTCTGCATCACCCTCCACTCCCTCATCAGCCTCTTCCCCTCCCGCAACCTCCTCCTCATCGAAAGCCTCCTCGCCGTCTCCCTCCACCGATTGAAATACTTGTGCCCCAGCCGATAGCACATAAATTCCCTCGCCGCCCGCCAACTCTCTTCATCCTCCTCCCTTCTCACCCTCTCCGCTTCTTCGAGTTGATATCGCTGAAAGACATCCCAGACGAGATTCTGGACCGTGTTTTCGGCAAATTGCTCCATCAGCCCTCCGTCACCAGTGACGTACCATTTTGTGAAGCCCGCCATCAGGTCTCGTTTTGGAGTGGGCGGTGGTGCTTGTGGTGCGGACGGCGTGACGGTGAAGAGGGGTGCATTCTGGACCGGTGGTGGTACTGCCGGGGGTGTCGGGGCTGGGAACTGGGATTGAGCCGGAGCGGGCTGGACTGGCTGTTGTGGAGGAAACACACCAGATGTGGGCGTAGGCTGCGTGATTGAGACAGAAGGGACAGCTGGCTGCTGTGCTGGAGCAGCGGGCGCCGGTTGGACATTCTTTGGAGACTCAGGCTTTGCCCCGAGACCGGGGAACGTAAGCGACGAGGTTGGCTGCGTTGGTTGAGCAAGAGAGAAACCGGAAGCCGGTGCCCGAGTCGGCTGTGTGCTTGCGGTGGTGGGAGCGGCATCGTTGCCAAATATCGGAGCCTTCTCTGTGCTCGAGAGCACACTCGCTGGCTGAGCCGAAGAAGCATCCTTGTTCAAAAACGAGAATGGGGTCGGAGCCAGCGCCGCTGGCTCTGGCGGTTTCGTGAAGCCGAAAGACGGAGCTGAGGGTTCCGCCAGGCTCGGGGGAGGAGCCCCAGAGCCGAATATAGCGGTCTGTGGCGTGCCAAACGAGAATGGGCTCTTTCCTGCTTCTTTTTGTGATGGCGCTTGGGCAGGAGTAGGTGCCGGGGCGGGTGTAGGGTTTGAACCAAAACCCGCAAAGGGGGTTGGAGCTGGTACCGTTGCCGTTGGTGTTGGTGCAGCAGGTTGCCCAAAGGGATTGTTAGCCTGGGGTGGCGGTTGACCAAAAGGACTTGCTGACGGTGCCGGGGCTCCGAAGCCTGGAGTAGCACCGGATGGTGTGTTCGAAGAGCCAAATGCCGAAGCCGGCGCCTGCGGTTGAGCTGGCACTCCGTTCGCCAAAGAACCGAAACCAAATGACGAAGTCGCTGCCGCAGGCTGCGAGGCTGGTTGACCAAAAGCCGAAGACGCACCCAGAGTGTTAATCTGCGTCACAAACAGCTCGTCTTCCATACCGACATCCCCCCCTGTCGACTCTTCGTAGATTGTATTGTAAATGACATACGGCAGAGACTGCGTGGTGCGCTTCCGTTCCACTAGCTTTCCCGAGAAAGCCTGCGGTACTCGCGGCGAGGGAACAACCTTCTTCTTGTTGTTGAGAAGCAGGTACGGTTCCGTCACAGGGGGCCTGTTGGGCGGCACCCAGGTCGACATCTCGAACCCGTGGAGCTCGATGAACTCAACCGCCTCCTCGTCCGTGTCAAACCTGAGCAGCTTGTTCAAGTTCGCGGCCGTAATAGTCCGAGGCGCATCTCTGTGGCGGGAATACCCTCGAACGAAATTCTTGAGAATGTTCTGGCGGACCCAGGTGAAGTGAACCTCGGCAATGCAAGCCATGGTGTAAGACGTCCTGGAGTCCTCCACAATCGCAAAGAAGTTGGCAAACGAAGTGTCGGACAGCGTCACTGGCCGTTTTGGCTTCAGGGGGCCCTTGGTCTCCCGAATGTCGTCCATGACCTGAATCAACGCCAAGGCCGTCTGCACCTCCTCGGATTGGAACCAGTACTCCTTCCCCCATGTGAGAATCCTCTTCATTATCGAGGGGTCGTGCGCATTGAGGAGAAGATAATAGGCCCTGAACTCGGGCTCGTTTTCGCAAACCACTCCCTTTTTCCGGCACTTGTCGTATGCCTCGATGAGCGACAGAAGCGTCCTGCCCAACTGCTCAATCTCCTGTCTCGAATCAAAAGACTCGTAACTGTGCCCCTTTCGGCAGAGGAGATGGAGAGCTGTGGCGTGGAATCTCGTGATCGTCTCGAAACAGTACACCAGTTCCTTCATTTCTTCGTTTGTTTTCTTCGAATGGAAGGTGAAGTCCTTGCGTACTGCTCGGGTGCGATCTCGAAGGTAGTTGTGCATCGAGGCGAGGTTGTTCTCCGACTGCAACAGTTCGTTGAAAAGGTAGTCGGTGGATCGCCTCAGAGCTGCCACAGAGCGAACGTCCATGGGCAATGGCGCATCCTGACCAGCCGCCGAGCGCCCAAACTTCTTGACCATCTTGGCGGTATCTGGCCACCCACGCTCGTCCTTCTCTTCTGTCTTGACATCGTACTCGGCAATACGAGAGACCTGCTCGAACTCCGGACACATGTCCTCGCAGATGCCCTTGAAAGGAAGCGCGTCCTCCAACCTCCTTCGCTTGTCCGGGTCGTCAATGAGATCGGCTTTTCGAAGTGACGCATAGGCGCGGGTGCGATACTTTTTGTAAGACTCTTTCAATGTCTCGACCGCACCGCGCTTGTCAGGGTTGCCAACTTGGGCCGGCCATGTTGGAGCCTTGATGCCCTCCTTTTTGAGATGATCGTAGAGCTTATTGGCATAGTCGTAGGCGAAGGGGCTCAGCTGTCTCGTCGCTTCGCTGGGCCCCTGTGTCGCGCCTTGTTTGCCGCGACTGTGCTGTGTTGGCGGTTGCGATCCATTTGGTCGTTCGTTCCGCTTGCGCTGACTGCTAGGGACAGAGGCCGCCGGGGCAGCGACCTTGGCGACTTCACGCTTGAGAGATGAACCCTTCGGTCCCTGAAACAGATTGGTACGCCGAGTATCTTTGTTGCTCTGCGCCCCGAACTGGTTGGACTTGCCTCCCTTATCCTGCGGACCGTTGGACGCATTCAAGGTCGACATCTTGCCCTTTCCCCGTCGCGTCATGTTGTTCCCGTCACTCGACCCAAACGATGTCGGAACCCCAAATCCTGCGGCTGGCTGGCTGCCAAATGACGAAGGGGCAGCCCCGAAACCGCCGCCGAATTGATTCTGAGCTGGTTGGCTACCGAACGAGGGGGTAGACTGTGGTGGTGCTGCTGCTGCTGCTCCAAACGAAGATCCCCCGAACGGATTGCTCGACGGCGCACCGAACGGGTTCTGGCCTCGTGCTCCAAAAGGATTGCCTGGGGGCACCCCGAAGGGATTGTTAGCTGGCGATGCCATGGTGAAGGAAGCAGAGCATTGGCGTCGGTCGCGATGGTTCGCGTGAGCGGTCGATCGAAGTGGAAAACAGAATGCGTATTAATTGACGATCGTCGTCACGGATGGAATATCATACAAGGTGTGGGGGTGGGTAGGTTTCGAAGTGCGGATGGCGAGCGAGTATGACTTTACCGTGGGAGGAGGCAGAAGAAGACTGTCGTCGGCTCGTGGAGATGCTCGATCGCAATGAAAGGTGTGTCGACAGGAGACGGCTCTAGTTGGCCGAGGGAACAAAGAATTGGCGTCGCATGAGCGGGAAGTTCGGCGTTGGTGGTGTGGAAGATGTTGCCGAGTCGACGTCAAACTCGGTGGAGAGCTCCACGAAGTCGCGATCACAGTGATACAGTTCTGGATTGGGAACAGAGAGCACGGCCGCTGTCGCATTCAGAATTCTGCCCCATGCAGAAAGAGGGTCGGGCGGTGAAAACAGGCCCCCACCCAAGCTGTTTCCTGTCGGGTGGTCCAAGCTTTTTGGAGCAAGCAAATTCAAGATCACATCAAAACAATACGACAACAGACAAGTCACAGAATCGAGACATTGCGGAAATAGATTGCTCTCAAATCATCTTGATATTTTTCATACCTTTCTAAACCGGCCCTGCATCCAGCATCGGTACATCTTGAGCTTTCTGGCACGGTTAACAAGCATTCTACGGTCTACACCAAGCTCCTCAATCTCAAATTTGGGCTTCACGCCCTCAGAGCTGGCGTCGGCATCGCCATCAGTGGCCTCGATGTTCAGCTTGCCTGACCAAACATCAGCGAGCTCGTCCTTTTCAAAGAAGTAGACGCGGGTGCCATCGCCTCGAATGTAAAAGTTCTCTTCCAGGTACCGTCCCTTTTTAAAGCGGACCTGAGCGAGGTCACCTCTTCCATAGTCGCGGAAGCAGACCTCACCACCTGGCTTGAGCACCCGATGAACATTCTCTACCGCCTTCTTCCACTGCAGCGGAGAGAGGGCAGAGAAGACGAACACCATCATGACAAGGTCCACGGACCCCTCTCCCAGCCCGGGGGGGAGTTCCTCCCCAGCAACATCCCACACGTCGGCTTGCATCAGATCCGTGTTGTACGCCTCGTGGTTGCGCATGACATCGACTGCCGTCTTGGAAAAGTCACAAGCATGGAGCTTGAGCTTGGGGTTCTTGTTTCTCGACAGAACAGGAAAGGCCGTGTTGCCGGCGCCAGCGCCTATCTCAAGGATGGTGACGGGTCCAGCGTCCTCTTGCGTCAGTCGATCAAGGACGGGAAACTCTTGCTGGAGCCATTTCCGGTCCTTGAAGAAGTTGGATGTGTTGTTCTTGTAGAACTTGTTCCACCACTTTGCAGGGTCGGAATTGAATCGAACTGTGTTTCTCGAGTCAGCAAATTGCTCGCGAGTGCCTGCCAAAAAGAGAGAAAGTGGAAAGAATGCGTGTCAGATGGGAGCGAAAGACTATATGTGCTACAGTTGTCATCAAAGGAATTCAGATGAACTATGCTATAAATGTAAATCATCACACAACGCAGGGGCGTTTGGGCCCCGTGGAAGCGAACCAAAAAAAAAACATTGTTGCAACTTACATTTGTCAAATTCGGAGACGGGGGCTTGACGTTGCATCTCGTATTGCTGTTCAGCATACTCTTTGAATTCATCGTCAACCTCGACATGATCCCAAGCATTGAACTCGAAGGGGTCGTCCTCCTCGCCCAGAAGACGCGAGCCAAACTGGAAGGGGTCGCTTCGCTTCTGGTTGTACTGGGGATCATGGGAGCGATGGGCAGGCTGCTCGCCTGTCTGCTTGGTTCCGTTCGCTATCTCAAGCGTCGAGAGGTCCGTGGCGAGCTGTGCCTGCCCATCGTTGGAGCCGGCGACGGCGACGACTGTTTCGTCGACAGTCATGGGCGAGTAAAGAGCGTGTGATAACTCTTGGTAAAAAGAGAGAGTAAAAGGCAGCAGCTAACGACTGGCACCGGTCACTGGATGGCGCTGGCGGAGTGGTGGTGGATGTTTAACACCATTGTTGCGCGGGGCTGCAGAATTTGCAGGCTGAGAAGAAAAGGAAGAGTGCGAACAGAAAGGGAAAAATCGAGACCCATTTTGTCTGTGAAACTCGCCCTGTGGGGCTGCTCATTGGCCGGATCACTCTGCGCCGTTCCGGGTCCAAGCCCACTCTTGCCGCTAGCCGAATCAAGCAGTTTTTATCTTATCAGTCTGTCAAAGAGAGCATTCCTCTGGTTGATGTCGAGGTGATGAACGGGGTGAAATATTACAATCTATTCCTCATCATGCTCTACTTCCCCTTACTGGCCCGCTTCTTTTCAATCTTCTTCAGCTCCATATCAATCCTCTTGAAGGACCAGCTCTTCCAAAAGTTAGGGTACAGGAACGGTCGGAGATCAAAGCGGTTGTCGTCCGGTGCTATGGGCACGGTCAATCATAAAGGTCCGACGGGAAAAAAAGTGCATATCAACTTACAATAATCATTACAGTGAAGGGCTGGGGTCAAGGTTGTCATCTTGTGCCGGTTGATGGCATAAAAGTGGAAGAACCTCTTCACCTTCTCCGCAACTTGAGCAGGCGTGTAGTGTGGCGCGGTATCGCCCTCGACGTGCTTCCGGTCGATGCTCCAGTCGTGGACGAGACGCTGGAACATGGCGAACGGGCCGAGCTTGTTGAGCTTGCGGAGGCGCCCAAACGTGGTGAGCTCCTCGTACGTCATGCCCATGTCGGCTTCATCACTCTGAACATAGTTCTCGGTGATGGGCTCCAGCTCGGCCGTGGGAACGGCCGTCAGGAATTCGTGGAGGCAGGGTAGGTCGAATTCTTTCTCGGCCCATGCGATGAAACGTTTCAAGTCCGCCTTGTCGATGGAGCCGATGGGGTTGATATCCGCACTCGAGCAGTCATACTTGGTCAGATATCCCCTCAAAGACTCTCCAACGTTTGCACTGCCGAGGACGAGCAGGCTGCCGCCTCCTGGTCTTCCGCGCGCGGTTGGAAGGATCTGCCCAAACTCGTACGCTGTTACCATTCTGATTCTGGCTTGCAAGCACTGCAGCGTCAAGTTTTCTTGGTTGCTGCCCCCTTCCACCTCGAACCTAGGCTCAAAATTGAGGGTGTTGACGACGAGCTTCTTCTGAGCCTCGTATACCTCGTCAATATCGAGGTTGACGTGGTGACTCCCGATGGCCTCGGCAAGATCCTTTGCGCGCTGGCGAGTGTCACGAGAGCTCTGCTTCTTCATACCCATGTAGATGGTGGTGAAAATCTGGTTGCACAATTCTTGCGGTGTCTTGGGCAACACACCCTGGCTGTATTGACAAAGTCGTTTGACATCTTCAATGACCTGTTGATTTTCCTCCTCGACGGCATCCATGACGATGCGGCACATGGAATACACAATCACGGCGGTAGCGCACGAGTCAATACCGCCGCTCAGGGGAACGAGGTAGCCTGCCGTTCCGGATCTGCGAAGGTAGTCCCAGAGGTAGCATCCGCCAGAGAGGGCAATCTCTTCTTCTACGGGGTGCACTCTGGGCTGCATGGGGAGGGTGGGTCGCTTTTCGATATCGGCGTCGTCATCTTCGGGAGCCAGCTCGAATGGAGTCTGAATTCTTTGATACCTGGCATCCGAGGTCGCGGCTTGGAGACCGCGGGAGATGGCTGCTCGATATGATCTGACTTCCTCGAGGTCGACAGTGGCGGTGACCACCTCGACGTCTTTGAGACCGAACTGGGATCCTTGGGCAACTGTGCGGTGTCAGCAGGGCTCGGGAGGATGAGCAAGGTGACCTACCAATATCGCCGTTTACTATGATCATGGCACACCCGTCAAAGTACAGGCGCTCGCCACTGTGCTTGTTAGCCGCAGCGGTCCAGACTTTTCAGAGACACTTACTCGCAGCCTTGTTGGTTGGCATACTGCAGAACGTGTCAGCTCCAACGGATCATTCACACAACACCCAGGGGCCATACAAGGTATACACCACCAGACTTTCTGGTGGCCTCCATAATCAGCTGAAGACGAGTGTCGAGTTTCCGTAAGGTGACTGGCTGTCTGTCAGCTTTTTATGTCCAGAACAAAGTGATGATGAGACGCACAGTGACTGCCGCTGCTGTTGGTGATGATCTCTACACCATCCAGAGCCATGTCCTGTGAGACTGTCAACATCATGTCTCCAAGTTGGCAACAAGGGAGACCCACGATATGCGGAGCTTTGGGGGTGAAAAGCTCTTCCTGCAAGACATTAGTGTCCTCGAACCATGGTCTTTCTCGCCACCATTGCAGCTTACACAGGTCTCGGCACCAAAGGCAGTCTCGGGGGTGGAAATAACGGCATCACCAAACAAGACGTGGGTTTCACCCTGGAGCTCAGCCAGCATCTTGGGGAGGTGGAACAGCTCAGTCTCTCTAGGGCGCATCCAGGGGGTAAAGTGCCTCATCTCCCTGTAGTTGCCATCATTGGCCAGCCACATTTTCGGTCTCTGCATAGTAACCATCAGTCGGATGCCCATTGCGGCGAGAGTGGTCAGGCTCACGATCAAGAGAATCTTTCCGTCGAGGCAAATAACCCGGCAATTGTATCTGAGGTTCCTGTGGAGAATGGGCATGCCAATGTCCAGGAGAATACCATGGGTGCTCTCATCCTGGAGCAGGATGCTGAGCATCTCCAGACTGTGAGCTAGACACAAGAGTTAACTCTGGTCCATAAAGGCTCGGGGGTCAAAGCCCAAGGGTTTCCATTACTGTAGACATCAAGCTCGTGGAAGTGGTCCAAGCTAAAGAGGGACGGGAATCAGTCATGGGAATTCCAGGTGGTAACTGGTTATTCGTACGCAGAGTAGCCGGTGATTTCAAGCTCCTATCTCCAAGTTAGACAGCTGCACTTGCTTATCATCAATGACACACAACTCACGGGACCGACACGAAGCCGAGCACCGGCCGCTTTTGCGATGTGGATGCTCTCAACGATGCGGTTCAGGTTGCCCTCCCAGTCGAGAACCCACTGATTTAGGTTGCATGTCGCAACCGTCACTAGATGGCCTCCCATCGTGAATGATGGCTATAGGTTAGGTGGTTGATAGGGGGTTGTCGTGCAAGACGCAAAGATGCAATAGGGAGGGGCAACAGCTCGGAGGGGCACAGACAGCTCGGAGGGGTTGAAGTGGCAGGGATTTCACCTGTACCTATGGCAGTTCCAAACAATCTTGCCAGCTGAGTGTAGCCACACACGGCCTGTTCCAGGCGTTGTGGTCTGAAACTGAGTTGGAACCCACAATAGACGGCTCAGCCAATCATATCTATGCCCGAAGCACTTACACCTCAACCGCTGATGCTCTGGTTGCCGCTTGGTTTTATGGAAAATGCTATGATGAATGCCGGGAGCAATGCTCTGGCCGCTTTTCTAGCTGATGCTCTAGTTGATGCTCTAGCTGATGCTGGACATGGGGTAGCGATGGGGGTTAATGCTGTGGGTAAAGCTGGGGGTAAAGCTGGGCGTGATTCGGGCTATTCAAGAGATAGCTCTTAGATGACACCAGCGAAATGGACGCTACCAGTGGATTGCTCTCCCATTTGTTACAGACGCAGGCCGCGAAGAAAAAATAGAGGTTTTGTTCCTTTCAAACATGTGTCTGATGACTGGCCAGGCTGAAGTGGGCTTTTTCTGAGCTTGACCAAGAACACCGGAAAAGCTTAACACTTGTTATTTGAGCACAAGATAGGCATGCAGCCTTCATTCAGAAGCATCCCTGACATCGATAGTTGTCACCCCAAGCCAGCACAGTCCGAATAACGGCCGGCAGCCCCCCGGCTCAAAAGTGGGCACCTTGGTTCGGGCCCGCCAAAAAGGTACCTACTACCCGAACCCATTTCGCGATCTGCCATCCGATCTGATCGCACAACACCACGAACCTCCCTCAACAAACCTCCCTCGTCACAATGCACCCAAGCCTGCGACTACGAGCAGCCCCCCTTTCTCGCCTTTCTCGACGACCCTTGCTCCTCCTCCCCTCCCAACAACAATCATCATTATTATCGCCCCAATCCCGACAACCACCTCCTCTCCAGTCCCGAAAACCACAATCTCGCCCCCATTCAAGAACATTCCTCACCTCCCTCCTCCCCCCCCTCCCGACCACCGCCCCAATAACCACTCTCTCCGCAACCAAAGTCCTCCCTTACCCCCCCTCAGAAATCTACTCACTAATCGCCGACATAAACTCCTACCACCGCTTCCTCCCCCACTGCACCCACTCCCTCATCACCTCTTTTACCCCCAAAACCAACCTCCCCAAAACCGGCGACCTCACAGTCGGCTGGGGTCCCATCACCCAATCCTACACTTCCAGAGTGTACTGCATCCCCTGCACCACCGTCGAGGCGGTATCCGGAAACGCCAGCCCTACCATCCCGCTTGACGTCCTAAGAAAACACGGGTATGAGAATACAGAGGGGGACAAAAAGGGGTTGGAGGGGGGGGTGTTTGAGAGTTTGTGCACGAAGTGGACGGTGCGGGAAGTAAAAGGGGGGGTGACGGAGGTGAAATTGGTGGTGAGGTTTCGGTTTGCGAATCCGGCTGTCGGGCTCGCGGTTCGGGCCGTGGCGGATGAGATGGTGGGACGGATGATATGTGCTTTTGAGGGGAGGGCCAGGGAGGTTTGCGGACGAGGGGGAAGGCCACAGGTCGGGGTGTGTATAGGAGTGGCTACCTTGGGGGAGTAGATGGGAAGCAAAGTCACCGGGCCGGCTCTGGCGACAAGCACTTTGCCGCCGCTACTCTGGTTGGGAAGTTGGTTAGAGTTCTGGTGGTTCAGGTACCGGAGGGTGGGCAAAGGCGTAAGAATATGGGGACAAGGAGCTTGAAGGGTGTATGGTTATGGATATGTAACACCACAGGCGTAGAAGGGAGCGAGCTGGGAGTTGGAAGGAGAAAAGTGTAAAAATATGTACAATAGAGATAGACAGCAAGCGAAGGAGTTAGACAGGCGATACTCAGCACACACACAACACATAGACACCTTCAACCACTCAAACCAATCACACCGAACGCTCAAAACATTAACAACAATTTTTGACCCTTTTTTATTTTTGTACTTCTCATTTTTTGTTTTATAATACGTAAAAAGTAAACAATAAACAACACAACACGAACCAGCCTAGAAGATCGCAGAAAATAACGAAGGACCACAAAAAAAGCATCTAGGACCACACCACCACCACACAAACTAAACCAAAAAAACAAAAACAAAAATATTCCACTCGCCCGTCGCGCCACGCTTTGTTGCAAATGCTTTGACCATGATGTGATGCTTGAGCTTTTTGCGCCGGGCCGAAACGAAGAGAAGAAGGAGAAAAAAAGAAGAAAAAAAAACTAATGCCACCCACCATCATCTTCCATACCCATCTCCATATCTTGACCATCCATCCATCCATATACGTTTCGTTTCCGTCATATCCAAATATCATATTCCATCATACCTCGTATATCTCTCCCACCGTCCAAATTTCAAAATGTTATACTGAAAGAAAAAAAAGAAAAAACCCTGCGAGGCAAAAATAAGCGACAAGGTATCAAAAAGCCAAAAAAAAAACTGTAGACACAAACTGAGTAGAGAAACCCAAAAAAAAAAAAGCAGCGAGAAATGTTGATGAGAGAAAGGTTGTATATCGGGTGAGTAAGTCGAGGGATGTTATCTTCGATAGTGTCTGGGTAACTCAACGCTTATTTCTTCCTGTTGCACCAATACACGTCAGCACAGTGCCATCTCAAAAAACATCCGTGATAAATGATGATGATACAGGGGGGCAAGGTAAAACGACAAACTTCGACTCCGTGACTTCAACTCATACTCCACATAATGTGCTCGGTGCTTCTCGGGGACGACAGGTTTGGATACCACAATCTGGGGGGAGGAGTCTGCAACATACTTTTTCCCGCTGCTCTTGGTCGGCTTGCCCGCCATCCACCCCAGCACCGTCGTCGGCGCGCCCTTGGACTTCTTCACCTTTGGCGGATCCGCCGTCACAACAACGGCGCCGTTCGGTCCGGGCATTGGAACCCTGATACGTTGTCCCTGACCGGGCATCGGTATGCCGCCCATGCCGCCACCGGCAGGCGGCCATGGCATGCCGCCCGGAGGCGGAGGAGGGGGCGGTGGTCCGCCTTGTCCACCGTTCGGACGGGAAAGTGGCCGGAATGGTATCCCCATGGAGGGCCGGTGCCCATGTCCGTGGTGTCCACCTTGGGGTTGGGGTCGGCCCATTCCGGGGGGCATGCCAGGCATTTGCATGCCCGGGGGCGGCATACCCGGGTGCTGCATGCGGAGGGGGTGCTTCTCCATGGGCCACATGTGCATCGTGACGGCCCAGTCGGGCTGGATGACACGCTCCCAGACCGAAGGCAGGATGATTTCGCCGTCGGGGCCGATCAAGTCGTAGTGCCCTTCCTGCACGTGAGGGCCAATGACCTCCATGTTAAGGAAGGCCTGCTTGATCAACTCCTCCATGCCCGTCCAAGTGGCGCAAAGGTGAAAGGGGAAGCTAAACTTGCGCCCGACAGCATCCTTAAACCTGATGGGCGGCTTCTCCTTCTTCTTGACAGCCTCCTCAACCTTCACCTTGGCCTCCTCCATCAGCCTCTTCTTGAGGGCCTCCTCGGCGGCCTTCGCCGCGGCGGCGGCAGCAGCAGCCGCCTCGGCAGCCTGCCTCTCCTTCTCAATCTTCTCTCTCGCCTCCAGCTCTGCCTTCATCTGAGCCTCCTGCTCCAGCTTCTTCTTCCAGGCCTCCTCCTCGGCAGCCTTCTTCGCCGCCGCGGCTTTGGCCTCTTCCTCGGCCTTCTGAGCAGCCTCAATCTTCTCGCGCTCCGCCTTGACAGCAGCCGCGAGCTTCTCCTCCTGCTCCTTGATGGCCCTTTCCAGAGCCTTCTTCGCCTCTTCTTCCAGCTCCTTGAGCTTCTTGGCCTCCTCGGCCGCCTTCGCAGCAGCAGCAGCCTTGGCCTCTTCCTCAGCCTTGATCTTGGCCGCCATCTTCTCCTGCTCCTCACGGATGGCTCTTTCCACACGGGCCTTGGCTTCAGCCTCAGCAAGAGCAGCAGCCTCCGCCTCGCGCCTTCTGCGCTCCTCAGCAGCTCTCATCTCGGCCTCAAACTTGTCGCGTGCCTCCCGCTCAAGCCTCTTGCGCTCCTCCTCGGCTTCCTTCCTCCTCTGCTCGGCCTCTCTTCGCTCCTTCTCCAACCTTTCCAGCGTCGCCTTTTCAGCTTCGGCCTTGGCGAGAGCAAGCTGCCTTTCGTGTTCCATCTTTTGCCTGGCAGCCTCCTCCTCGGCCTTTCTCCTTGCCGCGGCGGCTTCCTCCTCGGCCTTCTTCCTCTGCCGTTCAGTCTCTTCCATCTGCCGGCGGTAGGCCTCTGCGGCGTCTTGGCGGATCTTTTCCTCCAGTGCCCTTTGCTTTTCCGCTTCTTCCTTTTCTTTCTGGGCCTTCTTGAAGGCTTCCAGTTCGGCTTGCAGTTTGAGCATAGCCGGGTCTGGCTCGGCCGGCTTGGGAGGAGGGGCGGGTGCGGGTGTCGTCGGTCTGGGGCTGACTTCTGTTGGCGGTGGAGGGGGTGCTTGATACATGTGCATCTGCATGTGTGGAGGCATGCCACCATAGCCCTGGTGAGCACCGTAAAACATGGAGGCCGCCGCTCCGGCGGGGTTGTAGGGGGCCATCATGCCGTGTCCGTAGTGCTGCGGACCCGGACCCGACTGGTGACCATGTGGGCCGAGTGCGCGGGGATCGTTGTAGTAATCATTTTGAGGGGGCCCGTTGGCGCCGCGCATGGGCGCGAAGGGATTCGAATAGTCACCGTAGGGAACCATTTGGCCGGCTCCGTATGGACTTGCGCCGAAACCGCCTACGTGACTTGCTGCATACCCTGCTGGGGGTTGGTTACCTCGGTTTCCGTAGAATGCGCCGACGTTGTTGGGCGGTGGTGGGCCGTGGGCATAGCTTGGGCGACCATACGTCGAGCCGTATTCGTCCGAGGGGTCCAGGCTCATTGGAGGCGCTTGGGGTGATTGGTAGTAGCTTGCCGACTGGCGTCCCTGGGGTGGTGGAAGCCGGTGACGTCGGGAGCCGCTGTGCGGTCTGCCGGTGCCGCTGTGGTTTCGGGAAATGGGGCGCTTGTAGGGCTCGTGGTGAGCGGTGGATGCAGAATCCGACGGGTCAATGTCGTCGTATTCTCCTCCCCACTCGTCTTCGTCGTCGTCGTCCTCTTCCTCTTCGTCGTCGTCGTCAGCGAGCGATTCGCTGTACTCGTGGCTTTGTTGCGAGTACGAGTCCTCGTCAGTATAGTATGAATCTGAAGATGTCGATGGTGCAGCGTGGCTGTGACTGCGTGTGTTTATTGTTACGGATCGTCCTCTTATTCTAACGTGAGGGGGAAAAAACAGGGCGCGACGGGTTAGTCAAACCGGGACACATTATTGGAGGGGGGTGTTATAGGTGAGTTGCGGCACAGCTCTCGGTGGCACGGGCTGAGGAATTCCAGAGCCGTCCAGGCCAGGGGTGTGTGTGTGTGTCTACTTACGACATTGGGAATGGTTCCTATCTGTTACCGTCACCCTTTGATCCGCAACAGATGTTGTCGAGAAAGTGGGAGTCAAGTAATTGAAGGGGAATGAAATTGGCGCAGTATTCTTGTTCTTATAGATATCGTCTCTCGTTTATCGCTGTCTCGTGGTGGGCTGGGCTGGGCTGAGCACTACCGGCTGGTGGGTGGTGGGTGGAGAGTAGGGAGCGGGAGCGGGGGAGGAGTCTGGGGAGTCTTGGGGAGTCTGTGGTGGATGTTCAACAAGAACGCTTGAGGGAAAATGCTTGGTCGGGTCAGGGGTAGGCTGTATCAATCGCAATCGCTCTCAGATGATCTGGGTCTGTTCTTTCAGTTCGGGTGAAAAAAGAGGCAGAAGAACTTGGGACGAATGCACGGGCGAAAAATAAATAAAGTGGGTTGGGCGCAAAAAAAAAAAAGGGAGAGATCGGGTTGGTTTGTGACTGGACTTGGGTTGAGAGAGTTGTCCTTGCTGGGGGGAAGGGGTGGTCCGTGGTCAGCGGTCAGCGGCAGGGAACGGTATGCACAAAACGCCTAGATCAGATCCACAATGAGGGGCTGCTGTGTGAGTGAGCCAGGCCCTGTCTCTCTCAGTGCGACGACGAAAGAAAGTGGACTGCCGTCTAGCCCAGTTCATTCGCCATCGCGACCAAGGTGAGGAGGGTGAGGGTGAGGGCGAGGGTTAAGGGGGAAAGGAGAGAGGGAAGAGAGGGAGAGGGGACAGCGTGTGTAATGATGGACCCAGCACTCTGGAAAGGAGAGGACGGGAATATCTGTGGAAAGGAGGGGGAGAACACCAAGATATAGGAAGAGGGGGCCGGGGCCGGGCAACCCACCTTTATTCTGCTTGTGTATGTGCTTCTCTATCTTGTAGTAGTGTAAGCCAGTGTCGGGCCAGACCAGACAGGCCTGTGGTGGGTAACACTCGTGACCGCTGACCGCGCCAGGAGAGAAACAGGAACCGCAACTCACACTCTTGTCTGTCAAGGACTCGAGACGCAGCACGGGCGCCAAGGTAAGAGAGGTAGGTATAAGCCTCAATACTAGCATAGCGTCAGTGAGGGGTTCTCTCGGCTCGAGACGACCTTGACGATAAATGGAACGTGGAATCCCCGCGACGGCAGTGGAAACGGGCCCAGGGCTGTGAACCGTTAAACACCACCACCACCACCACCACTGCTTACCGCCCTCACCACCCTCATCATCATCATGATCATCATCAGGTGCTCAACTATGCACAGGGTTGACGGGGCAAGTTTGCCTCCCCATTCCCGTCTCTCGGTGATGATGAGTGTGGTATTGCCCATGACGATCTAACTGCCAAGGCTGTCCAGTGCAGTTGTTTCCTGTTCCTGTAGGGCATCGACTCAACACCCGGTTGGTCTGCATGGCCGTTCATGAAGAACAACGGAATGGCCACTGTGCTTGATGCAGCCCCAGGAGGGACCGATCATGGATAAAAAGAGAAGTGATCCAACAAAAAGCATGCAATGAGAATAAGACGAGAGAATGACCCATACCTCAAAGCAAGCAAACAAGGCTATGATTTGGTTGGGGGTGGTTTCAGTGTTCCCGCAGTGTCGGTGGGATTGGCGGCAAATGCGTCCTCGTCGAGCGTTGCTCAACGTCTTCGTCGTCGAGTGCTCAGTTGCGGTGAGGCTATGATTAGATTATGTAACCGTGGATGGTGTGGTGCGAGAGATGCGAGCGTGCGGCGTTGGATTGCGGCAGGTATCTTTGTAGCTCGTGAGGGTGTTTCTGTGGGACAGAATCGGAGGGTGGAAATGGGAAGTTTTGATATGTCTTCTGTGTTGTCAGTGCGCGGGCCGATCAGTCAAGCAGGCGGACGCAAGAAAAGAAAAAAAGAAAAAAGAAAAGTTCGTCTACGTTGAGATGTTGTTCTGTCCGCATGTATGTGTGTGTTTGCTTTGTGGTCAGTGGTTAGAGACACGACACAGCACCATGGAAGGAAGCAAGCAGCAGCAGGCAAGGCAATGCGAATAAAGTGTATGTACGCCCGGGTAGGCTGAATTAGAAATGCTAGGGGACAACTCGAGCTGCAGTAGCACTAAACAGGAGGGCGGAGCGTTGTGTTGCCTACAGGAAACCCCTTACACACCCTGACTTGATCCCATCTTGGCCGTACACATCCAAACGGTGGCCTGTCACTGGGCTAATCGGCCGGGCTCTCGGATTGTGTGCATCTCTTTGCTGGCTGCCCGTACCGGGAAGACCCCGGAGCCCGATGCCAGCTTGCAACGTCGGCCCCAAGCCGCATTCGTCAGGCGGTGAGTCCTTCTTCCTTCCGGTTCTCCCACGCCTAGCAGCCATCAACGAGAAGATGGATGGGTGAGGCATGAATGACAGAATCATCACCCGCTAGGCGCATACATCCTCGACCCTACTCCCGCAACGAAGGGATCCGGTGCTCTCGATGGATAGGTTGCCTATCTGTACGTGGGTTGAGTTCAAACAAGAATGCGTGCACAGGGATGCGAAACCATCAAGCAACAGCTTCGCAAGGCAATCAAACGGCATGCGCCGGATCTCGATTTTCGGTTGTTGGTTCGTGACAGGGAAGCAGGGGTTTGTATGTGGAGGAGCTTGCGCAAGAGGCACCGCGTGGACAATGTGGTCTTAGATATAGGCCATGTCGACCCTTTTCTCCATTTGCCTTTTTCGATTCTACTCTGTTTCTCGCTCTGCTAACCCGCAGCCCACAGCCCACAGCATCGACAACTCAGTCCGTACCCAAAACCAAAACTCTGGCGACCGACACGTCAACATGTCCTGCAGAGACCCTTCTGGCTAAGGCTTCAAGGTTTCAAGGACAGCAGAAGAAGGCGTCCGGGTTCCTTGCAACGCTGCATCATTAGGTCATAGAGCAACCATTGACGTTGCTCCAGCCAGGTACCGGCGTTTCCCTTCTGGGCGGCGCGATCCTCCTCGTGCTCAGACTAGACCGGTGGCTCTGGTTTTTTTTGTGCCCAAAGTGGCCGGCGAGTGGTCGGGAGAAAGAAGCAGGTCTGCAAGAGTAATCGAGCCGCATTCCGGTTGGGCTCCAAAGGGCCGCACCGCAAGTGCCCCACCCGCACACACACACACACAGCTCAGATGCATCCCGTTTCCTTGACTGGAGCCACGTTGGGTGCCGATGCTCATACGTCTTCCTGCCCAAGACCCACCACCTCGGCTAATAGCAAAGCAGTTGTAAGAATGCGCCAATAATCCTGGGGGTTGAATGTCGAACGCGACAGTGTGTCCACTGCATTGCAGAAGCAGCTCCTCATCTAGCCGGCAGCCATCGTGACTCACGTTGTCTGCGAGTTTCGAACGCGTCACTGGGTATTGTCGCGATGCCGTTGTTTCTTTGGTCCGAGCAAGAAATCACCTCTCCATCCCCGAGGGCGCATCCTCGGAGAGGAGCTCCCGCGCTGCTGCAACCTCGGCGGCATCGTACCCCCTCCAACCGCGGTCTTGCGCACTGCTGTGTCGGACAATCTCGGCCAACTTGGCTGTGGCCAGTTCATTCAACCGCTCAATGGTGTTGGAATCTGGGAGAGAGAAGTCTTCATCGTCAGACTGCTTTGCCGGCTTGGCATTGTCCTTCAACAGTCTCTTTGTGACCTGGAAAAGGGGTCAGCAATCATATCGTCTTGGCAGTTCCAACGGCATATCTAACCAGTTTCAAGCCATAATAACCTCGCAGATAATTGTCGCACAACTCAATGCTGCGCGAGAAACGCTTGATGGCCTCTGCCATCTGCTTCTGATAGGGTGCACCGGTGGCACCCGAAGCAGTGGCGGCCATGTATTGCAGTTCGCCTAGTCGGGCATGTACCTGAAGGGGACCCGTTAGCATAGGGCTTAGACTGTTTCACCGTGGCATTGCGTACATTCCATGCGTTTGGAGCCAGGATCAGGACCTCTTCCATGGCGTAGATCGCTTGTGGGTACAACCCCTGAGAAAAGTAGAGATCCGACAGCTCAGACCAAGCCTCGGAATCGGTCGGGGAGAAATCAAGAAGCTGCACCAGGGCTGAGCCCGCATCCGAGAGGCGGCCCATGGATCGAAGGAGGGCAATACGTCTCTTCATGATAGGCTGTGGAGAGGGGATTAGTTCCTGGCCAATCTTGGATGGATAGCACAGCAGGAAGGGAAAGTGTGGTTCACGAACGAGATTGGTGTTGTTCTCCTCGAGCATCTGGTCGTACTCCTTCAGAACCTTTTCCAACTCGCCATTATTTTGGGCCTGGGCCTCCTTGATGAGCCCTCCCAGCGCCTTGACTCGGTCATTGTTTCCGAAACGAGCAGCAAGTCGATCGTAGCATTCTTGTGCCGCCCTGTCGTCGCCAGTTCGGAGACAGGAAAGAATCAAGTTCTCGTATTGTATCCATAGCTCGGGCTTCTCGGTGGCGGAAAACAATGAACCCAGGGCGGATGATGACACGGTGCTCGGAGAGCTCTGGAGGACGACAGGAGCTTGCTGGGAGAGGGCCAATGCCTCGGCCGGTGGCAGCTGGACCGGCGAGCGGATGAGGGACGGTGCCATTGATTCGATTAGATTAGATTAGATATTCGGTGGGAATGTGTCTCGGATAGGGTCGGGTCTGTTGTTGAATGTGTTGTCGTTGGGTTGACTGATTGATGATGGAATTCAGGAACACAGAATGTAACAAACCACTTGACGACGGGACGGGATGTGGAGAGTGGGGACCTCTAATAAACGCCAAGACCTTCATGTGGTTCAAAGCTCGGGCCTTCCCTGTCAGTTTTGGCCGCGGTGGGAGCTTGTTCCGCCCCGAATACAGTGCCAGGCCGGGTTCCCTGCCCGCTGGAACGCACTGTACGGTGACGTGCGGCCAACCCACCTTGGGGCCACCTGGAGGTGCAACGACAGCATCAGACTGCCCTGGAGCTTTGTTGAGAGTTGCGCAAGCCCACGAAACACTGCGCAGAATCGCCTGCGAGCTGATTGACGACGACCAAACCAAGATGCCCTCTACGAATCTTGCCATCCCTACATCGTACCTCCTTCACAGATCCTACAAGGCCCCTTTCCGCCGCTGAAGCCCGCGACAACACAGCACGGTGCCCCCTGCATCCCCGCCATTCAATCCCGAATCCAGGAACCGCGGATCGTCGAGCTAAGCTTCGCGATATTCAACCTCGAGTCTTCCCACACAAGCGCATACGAATAAGGTATTGGACATATACACCTTTGACATCACAAAACCACAGCCATGTATGTCGGTCTTGCCATATGCTTGGAAGCATGAGTGGTGCTGACGTGGTGCAGGTTCGAGAAATCACTGTACGACCTCATTAGAGGTCTGCGCAATCACAAGGGAAACGAGAAGGAATACATTCAAAATTGTCTGAAAGAATGCCGGTCTGAAATAAGAAGCCCAGATATGGGTTCGTCTCCTCCACACAGTCAATCTCTCGGACGCTCAAGCTGATCTCGGACGTAGACCTCAAGGCCACTGCCTTGCTCAAACTAATCTACCTCGAGATGAACGGCCACGACATGTCCTGGGCCTCCTTCCACGTATTGGAGGTTATGTCGTCGCAAAAATACCACCAGAAACGAGTTGGATATCTGGGGGCTGTCCAGAGTTTCCGTCCCGATACCGATGTCCTGATGATGGCTACAAACTTGCTGAAGAAGGACCTCGCTTCTTCCCACCCGACGACAATAACACTACCGATCGTCGCGCTGCCACATCTAGTAACCCCGTCATTAGCTCTCTCACTGCTAGGGGATTTGCTACCACGACTCACCCACTCCCACGCGTCCATAAAAAAGAAGACAGTGGTCACTCTTTACCGACTAGCACTGGTTTACCCCGAGGCGCTACGTGCAGCATGGCCCAAGATCAAAGAGCGGTTGATGGACAAGGACGAGGACCCGAGTGTGACGGCTGCTATTGTCAACGTGGTGTGTGAGCTGGGATGGAGGAGGCCGCAGGATTTCCTCCCGCTGGCACCGCGGCTGTTTGAATTGCTGGTGGATGGCGGGAATAACTGGATGGCCATCAAGCTCATCAAACTTGTAGGACGCCTATGTGACATCCTGCACCTCAGTTCCTTGCCTAACCTGCGTCCAGTTTGCGACTTTGACTCCCCTCGAGCCTCGCCTGGTCCGAAAGCTGCTGCCGCCATTAACCAACCTCGTCAAAACTACACCTGCCATGTCTCTCCTGTATGAATGCATTAACGGTATCATTCAGGGTGGCATTTTGGGTGACGGTGAAGATTTCTCTGCCCGGGAAGAAGTTGCCTCACTATGCGTGTCCAAGCTCAGGGGCATGGTGTCAATCAACAGTGACCCGAACTGTGAGTGGCTTTTTCATCGGATTGTGGGACTCGGCTGACACGAGGGCGATCAGTGAAGTATGTTGCTCTGCTGGCCTTCAACAGGATTGTCACCACTCATCCAATGCTTGTTGCTGAGCAGGAAGATGTTATCCTGGAATGCATTGACAGCGAGGATATCTCCATCAGAATCAAGGCACTTGACCTCGTGCAAGGGATGGTCAGCAGTGACAACCTGCTGTCCATTGTCAGCCGGCTGATGAGGCAGCTCAAAGCCTCGTCGAGTGCTCTGGCACAGCAACAAGACGGACAAGAGGATCTGGACGACTCCAGTGAAGATGGTTCTGGACGGCGTGCCAAGTCACAAGAGCAAACGGCCCCTTTGCCAGACGACTACACCATCGACGTGATCGGTCGGATACTGGGCATGTGCTCTCAGAACAACTACGCTAACGTGATCGACTTTGACTGGTATATCGACGTCCTGACCCAGCTCGTCCGCATTGCTCCGCCTCCGAGCCCTCGGGATCTCGACTCGGACAGTTCTTCGTCACCCAAGTCAGTCGATATCTCGGAGAGGATTGGAAACGAACTCAGGAACGTGGCCGTAAAGGTCAAGGCTGTGAGGCCTGCTGCTGTGCGCGCTGCAGAGTTGATTATCTCGCGTCTCAGCACTGACACGGTTTCTTCACGGCCAGTGGTCACTGGCGCCCTGAAGCCGTTGGCATTTGTGGTGGGAGAGTACGCTTTCCAGCTCTCGTCGCCTGACGATACGTTGAGGAACATGCTGGGTCTCGTGCCCCGAGTTGACTATCCTGAGGTGTTGGCAACATGCCTCCAGTCGATTCCCAAGCTTTTTGCCCATGTTGCCGGGGATGATCGGGCGTTGTGGACCCCCGAGAGAAAGTCATCACTATCGTTGCTGATGGCGCGGGTTATTCACATACTCGAGCCATTTGCGCAACATCCTTACCTAGAAGTCCAGGAACGAGCGGTCGAGTTTATTGAGCTTCTCAGACTCACCGCCGAAGCCGCGTCTGGACAAGCGCCATCCACAGACGAGATTCAGCAAGACGCACCTTTGCTTCTTACACAGGCCATTCCATCACTGTTCACGGGATGGGAGCTGAACTCGGTCGCACCGGGGGCGCAGTACAATGTCCCTATCCCATCAGGACTGGACCTTGACGAGCCCATTCATCCCAACTTGGGCAGCCTGCTTTCACAGGCAGACTCGCTGATGCTTCCTACACAGGGTGATGATGAGTTTGAGGTGTATTACAACCAGCGCCCAGCGCCAACCAGCATCTACAGCGGCCCCGCCATCGAGAGGCTGGTTGATGCCCCAGAAGAAGTCGGCAGTTCCTACCAGCAAGCGGGAGAGGAAAGTTACCTCGACGCGGACATTGTTGCGAGGAGAAAAGCGGAGAGGAGGGAGCGTAACAAGGATGATCCGTTTTACATTCCGGACATGTCATCAAGCCGCACGGGTACCTCGACACCAATTCACAACATTCTCCAAAAAGAAAACGGGCCGGATCTCGACATTGACGCCATCCCGATCATGTCACTTGATTTGGAGAAACTTTCCGTCTCGGGGCCGTCCAGGCATCAACAATCTCAACACCCGCGACAAGCCCGCCAGAAGATTGTCATTGAAGCGGACGAAACGCTCGGTGGTAGTGGTGGCAACAGCGGTGTCTCTACTCCTGGGGGTGCTGCTCGTCCGGGCTATGACTCGGAGAATAACTCTGATAGTTTTAATCTCTCCAAAACGGCCAAGAAGCCTAAGCAGAAGAGTCTGTTGCAGTTTAACTCTAGCGTGCTGGGCGGGTTGAGCTTGACGGATGAGCAGAGGCCGGACGATGGGTTTGCGCACGAGAGGCAGCAGAAGGAGGAGGCGGAGATGGCGCTGGCGATGAAGGAGGTGCAGAGGTTGAGGTTGGAGATGCAGAGGGCGAATGAGAGGATTCAGGTTGCGCAGGGGGTGCCGAGCGAGGGGGTGGCGGTTGTGAAGAAGAAGAAGAAAAAGACAAAGACGGTTGTGAAGGCGGATGAGGGGGAGGAGGGGGCTTGAATGCCCGAGTCCCAGTCCCCACCCCCCTTCATGGGGGTTGATGAGGCTAGTGTTCCCTGGTAGGAGACGACACCACTGACGGAGGGGCCGA